TAACAAGTAAGTAAAAAGCACATTGTCAGGTTTAGTCCTGGCAAGGGCTCTATAGCAGGTATCAGTTTTCTGAACTGGTTAACTTATTATGACTATGACAGAATATTTAATACCCACAAAGAAGAAAGACTTATTTAGTCTCAATTGTTGTAAGTCCTAGCCCATTTTATTTCACTCCCTGTGCTTGGGGTAGACACTGTGGTAGTGGTACTGGGGGTATATGATGGAAGAAATTTCTCACTTTATGTTTGAAAGAACAAATAAAGAAATACAGAGAGAATAAAGAGAGAACAAAGAAAGACAGAGAGACAAATACAGAGACAGAGACACACATAGATATGGACACACAGAGAGGCCGAAACAGAGACACAGAGACAGACAGAGTGAAGAATAAAGAGACAGAGAGAAATAAAAACACACACATAGAAACACACACACACACACACACACACACACACACAGAGTGACTGAGAGACAGAGACAGAGACATACATAGACACATATTAACAGATAGAAACAGAGAGCCAGAGAGCCAGAGACCCAGAGACAGAGATGAATAAAGAGACAGAGACAAAATAGAGATACAGAGAAATAGAAGCATACACACAGAGAAGAAGACAAAGAGAGATATCTAAATGACAGAAGTTGTCTAGCCCATCAATGGGTAAGAGATAAAGTAAGTTCCCTCTTTAATAAAAAGCAATAATCTTGCATCTGGCAAAAATGCCTCCCCTAGTCATAGTACAAGACTATGAGATTGAGCTCTGACCACTCAGAGTGAGGAGTCTATTGTACTGGAAATAGAAACCCAGTGGGACACCCTCCGCAGTGTGCTGCCTTACTTGCTTACTCAAGTTAAATGCCACTTAAGCTAATTTTTTCTGCAGAAGGCAAAGCTTTGTCTTGCCAAAATAATTACGATTTTGTAGTATCACTTTTTGAGACCCTTATTAACACTGGAACATGATGTAATTGCCTCCGAAGAAAATGTTTTTAATGCCATGTCCTTCAGCTAGTCACACTCTTCCAAAATTTCCAGAATCTTATAAAACAATACAATCTCAGTGGATCAAATGTTAAACACAAAAGGCTGTTGGGGACATTTCATATTCAAATAACCACACTAACAATCCAGGGATGATTGGAAAAGTAGCATTAACATTTAAAAGTATTACCTGGTTTCCAAGTTTTTCTTTAACATAATTATGATCATTCTTTATTCTGTATCATATTTTTAAAACAATTAAATGATACTGAGCATTTTGTTGTCTTTCTAAACTCTGTACAGCCAACTGCGGCATAGATTACAAACTGTAATAATTTAGAAATCAATTCTGAAGATCATGAATTTATGGCAAGTCTGGACTACAGAAAGAAAAAAATATATACTCATATAAATTTTAATTTTAAAACTATATAATATTTAATTTTAATTACAAAATTATATAAAAATATATCCTCTCTAGACTGGACAATTTTATATTTTATTTAGTCATCGTTAACATTGAAAATGATGTATGTGGTTTTTTTTCTAGCTCTTTCATCATTATTTTTTATTCTCCCTCATTGTCTCTCTTCTTCTTTGTTTTTAGTCAGTTTAAAAAGAACTATGTGCTAAAACTTCAAGATATTTGGAGTTTTAAAGAGGAAATGACAAACATTTAAGTCCATTAATTCGTATGCTGAGACAACAAATGAAGGGAAGGAAAACTGTGATGAGAGGAAGCCTCCGAGAGGCAAGCTAGAGTCAAGATGGAACAGAGACAAAGTACATGCATGTTTGTGTACACGTGTGTATGACTGTGGTTTGTGCAAGTATGTATGTGTGTTTGTGTGTGTCTTGAGCATGTGTAACAGGTCAACTATATGAAATATCAGGTAGTTAGAAACTGATGTTAAGAACAGTATGAGAAACTATGTCCAACTAAATTCTCAAAAACATGGTTAATTCATGAGTCTTTGTAGGGTAATATGATCTCATGGTTTTGGATTACTGTGGTAGCTTGCATGGAGACCACTTTGAATCCAAATGTTCTCGTAGCTGAATCCATTCAAGAACAGACATGGAAAGATTTTGTGTTACTTGCCATGGATCAGCTTCAGCTTGAAGAGGGGTTGTAAAGAAGGGGTTTCTGGGAGCAATGAAACACAACACTTGAAATCAAATCACGGGTCCAAGCTGTTTTGCTTGAGACTACATTCTAGCTTGCTCTCTTTCTGTTCTAATTTCACTGAATATCTCCAGACATATCTCTCTCTCTCTCTCTCTCTCTCTCTCTCTCTCTCTCTCTCTCTCTCTCTTTCATTCTCTCTCTCCTTTTCTTTCTCATCTCTCCCTCTTTTTCTCCTTCTCTCATTCTTTCTCTCATTTTCACTCTCATTCTCACTTTCTCTATTTCTCTCTTTCTCTTTCCCTCTCATTCTCTCTTTATGTCTCTCATTTTTTTCTCTATCATTCTCTTTCTTTTATTTTATTTCTTTTTCTCTCTCCTTTTCTCTCTCTCATTCTCTCTCCTATTGTCTCTCTCATTCTCTCTCTCCCTCTCTCTCTTTCTCTTTGTTGCTCTCTCCCCCCCTTTATCTCTCTCTCTGTAACTCAAGACAGTTCTCCAAGCAGTTCTTTCTTGCTATTCTAAAAAATTTTCTGGTCAGTTCATCTCTTGCAGATCAAAAGCACAGTCTTTTAACTTCATATCAATTCAGTAGAAAGCAGAAGCTGTGGACCACCTGAGAAATTCAGATACATTGAAAGGTAATGCTTGTCCACTTTTTAAAACATGTTTTTTATTTGGAGTGTGTGTGTGTGTGTGTGTGTAATACTGGAAACTGAATGACAGTCAAGCACTGGACCACTCAGCTTTATCCCAACTCTCTTTTTACTTATGAAAATTTCATTAAGTTGCCTGTGTTGGCCTTCAACTCACTCTGTATTCCAGATAAATATGAGTAATATATCCTCACACCTCAGCCGCCCATGCAGAAGGAATTATAGAGATGCTCTGCCTGATCCAGTATCAGATGTTCAGTCTTATTCTCAATAGATTTGAAGAGCCAATTTCAATAAACTGAACAATTACTACCACTCTGTATGAAAATGATCAATTTGCTTTATTTTTGCTCTTAAAAAACTTTTAAACCAAATGCAGTTCTTTTCCTGTTATTTTAATATTTTTTAACAGAAAATTAGTATGCTCTCATGGTAAAGTAAATTACTTGCAAGCAAAATATCAAATATGAATTTCAGTGCTGGGATCAAACCCTGAGTCTTACAAATGCTGGACAGGCATTTTGACATCAAACTCTCTCCTCAGCCTGGAAAATAATTTGGTGTAAGAGTAAATTCCTTTAAGCATAAAACAGTCAGTTTAGGCTATTAGTATTTTTAAAGGAGTATTGTTGTTCCTTGATTCTAAGCAATTAGCATGTTGTTGAAAAACATGTCAAAATAGGACTATCAAACTTTCACTCTTTAATTGCAGAATTCTTGTATTTTTCTGCTTAAACATTTTTTTTTCTAAAGTATCTCCAGTGGTCTCAAAGGATAGGGTACTTTCAGTGTGCAGTGTACATGTCTCTCTGCAGCAAAACACCAGTGTTCAGATTCACAGATTCACGCTTGAATTCCAGTCATATTCTATACAAGGTAATGTTTTTCTGACCCAACCTGTGTGTGAGTATGTGTGTGTGTGTGTGTGTGTCCATTTAAACGTTTAGTAAAATTATGATTTCAAGTAGAAAGGAAGTCTCCTTTATTTGCCTCCTCTTCTGCTCAGGAAAGACTCTCTAGACAGAAGGAGAGTGCTATCCTGAGTATGCTTCTGTCTCTCATTCTTGAAAATTACAAGTATATAGTACACCAGGAAAACTTCTTTCTCTGAACTATGTTGCCTGACTTCCAGCTTTTCTGATGTAAGAGTTGATACTACAGATCTTACTGTTTCTAATGGCAAAGTTGTTGTAAGTGGACTAGGTTCTGATACAACTTGAATTTATTTGAATTTGTTCTAGGAAAGTTCCTACTTATTGATGATATTTTTAAAATAATATATTTCTTTATTTAAGAGGGCTAACAATCACCCATAGCCACGACTTGGAGTCGTTTACTCAGTATAAGCACTTTTGTTTAAGGAAAATAAAAGGTCAAGACATTCACTTAGAAAAAGGGCCAAAATTGTTGTGTGTTTCAGGCTGTGCTAACTCATGGAGGCATCAATCTCAGTCTGAAGTCTTACAGATCTTTTTTTTTATTGGGTTATTGGTATTCATTAGATAGAAATGAATATCGTACATACCATTCAAGCTTCCTTAAATGACGAGTAAAGATATTAGAAGCAATGAAAATGTGAAAGAGATTAGTTTATGAAAGTTGTATAGTAGTCACAGTCAAGTCAGAAAAGCATATAATAGTCTTATAGTACAGATTTTAGTTTTAGTGAATACAAGTTGAAGCAGTGTATTTAAATTTGTAACTACTTTCTTCAAAAACAAATAAATGTTGTTAGGAATTTTACACATTAAAAGAATGATTATAAAGTGTTAGGATTAGTCTTTATACAAAATAATCCTTAAATGACCATTTATTAATTTAGTATGGTTTTAATTTGAACTATAAATGCACAGACCTTAGAATTTCTATGTGTTGATGCTGCCGCAGAATATTTTATACATATGTGTCTGCATGTATGTTATTTAAGGGAAAATAAGCAATATATTCCTAATTCAACTTCAAAAACATATTGAAAGATAGCTACATCTAAGCTACATTATGATCCCATTACATTCTCATTATGACCGAACAGTTCTATCTAGGAGACTGAAAGTATAGAGCAGTTATGGTATATCTGAAGATTTTTAATAGAATGAAAATGAAGAATATAAACCAGTGTGTGGAAACCATTCAGTCTGCTGTTCTTAGAAGAATTCATATATTCTGGCAGGTGCAGTTTATGCCTCTGCTCACCTTTCTTCTCTGTGAGGATGTTTTGAATAGGCCATGTAAATTACTGCAACTCCAGTGAAGCCATAATTATCAGAGAAATGATCCATCCATTTAAACCTCCAAAACCAGATGATGTTCCTTTGTTAGAGGATGAGACCTTTGTCCTGGAATGTACTGCAGGAGGGGGTGTGGTAGTCGGTATGGGAAGGGGTGCAGGAGGGGGTGCGGGAGGGGGTGCAGGAGAGGGTGCAGGAGAGGGTGCGGCAGGGGGTGTGGAAGAGGGTGCGGGAGGGGGTGCGGGAGGGGGTGAGGGAGGGGGTGCGGGACGGGGTGCGGGACGGGGTGTAGGAGGGGGTGGAGTGGGAGGTGGTGGCTGCCTCCTGCACACTGGAATTGGTGGTTGCCATGTACTATTACTCTCACACACAGCTGAATCGCTCCCATGAAGGTAATACCCCTCGTTACATGCAAAGTAGATCAATGCTCGATAATAATATTTGTTGCTGTATCTTGATGTCAGCCTCCCATTTTCAATTATAGGACTTGGACATTTGACCAGTTTGCATTCAGGAGGGTTACCACTCCATGATCCATTTTCAGAACAAATCAATTGTCTCTCTCCAACAAGTGACAGTTCATCCTTGCCAGATACGCGTTTACACTTGTAGGTTGCCACTTCGCCAAATTCAAATACGTCATCGTGATTTGGGTAGAATTCTCCATTTTCTATATTTGGAGGTGGTTTACATAAAACTTTTATACATTCTGGGGGTACATTGCTCCACTGCACACCATTTCCTATAATAATGCAATCTTGAATTCTTTCACCAATTAAATGATACCCAGGATTACAAACATATTCAATTTGTGCACCAAACTCCAAGCTTTCATTCAGATACTTTATGTTACCATTTGAAAGTTCGCCTGGATGTGGACATCGTTTTCTGATACATACATCCTTCGAAATGGGTGACCATTGGCCATCTGTGCCACACACACTGAAGATCTTACGAGTTTGAGCGCTGTATCCTGGTCTACATGAGTATTGCACTCGATCCCCAGCCCCATAAGTGGTTTTAAGATCGCCATTGACTTTCATATTTTGAAACCTTGGTGGCTCACCACAGGCATCAGAGGATGTATACAGCAGTGTTACCAGGAGGGTCACAAGAAAGCACTGAGCAGAAACCGAGTCAGACCCGTGTTGGCAAGGCATCCTCTCCATCAAGTCAGGCTTTATTTAAATGAGCTGTAAAAACAGAGGACTAGAGTAGGCATTCTCAGTCTGAGTACCCTACGCAAAAATTCCTAAATCCAGTAAGTTTTATGACTAGACAATTGATGGGCGTGGCTTGGGCCACACCCAGCAAGGAAGTCACTGTGCATACTACCTCGGCTGAGTCTATCAACATAGCAACAGAATCTCACTAGAGGGTGGATTTCCTCTAGCCAACTGAATCCACAATTCTTAATCTTTGTTCATCAACAAGGGCATTTCTTTATTTTTAAGAATCAATTCCTAGACGGTATATTACTGGAGATTTCTGTCTGAATTTGTCTCTAAGCAATAACCCTGATGATAAAAATTTGTGTTCTTGGAGCCTGTTTGAAATATTCCAGGATGTTTAAATGTGGAATTTGAAAAAAAAATGTGTCTTAGAAAGAAAAATGTCAAATTTCAAATGCTGTAATGAGGTTGTTATCATATGACAACAGGGAATGAAACTTGCTGTCGAGTCCTTTAAGAGGCTATGGCAGTGCCCTTAGCATCAGCCTGAAACATTAGAACTCATTAGGCTTCAGATTCATACCTTCCTTCCTGGATAGTGGCTCCAGGTAGATCAATTCACTCTCATGCCTTCATGAGATACCTCCTTCGATCAGGAAACGTTGACTTGCAGCATGGCAGCATGAAAAGATCTAGCAGAGAGACAGGCCAATATGGGTGGAGTCAGCAACTGAAAATCATTAATCATCAACTGCTTTGGTCAGTCTTCATGTCTGTCTAGTGTTCTGATTTTGTTCCATGCATTTTAGAATAGTATTTCCTTTTTTCAGTTCACTGGGGAATTCCAGGATACGTAGGTAAGCGAGAGAATGTTTGCCTCCAAAGATTTTCTCAATCTGTCACGATTCTCTTAGGCTACATCAGTACAGTTGACATGCTACATGCTAGATTGATGACTAATTCTTTTTTTTTCAGAGAGAGAGAGAGAGAGAGAGAGAGAGAGAGAGAGAGAGAGAGAGAGGGATTAACAAAGCAGAATCAGGTTTAAAATGTGGACTTCAAATGAGCTATTGTATCAACTTCACTTGTGGGTTACTTAATTGGGTAGTGACTCTTGATCACAGCTTTGAAAACCCCTTTTCTCTGCCCCAAATTCAGGTTGTTTGCTGCCAGTGCTCATTTTCTTTTTTTTTTTTTTTTAGGAGCCATGATCTTTTATTGGGGGAGGGTTCATCAATCCTTCTTGGCCGCCGCCTTCCTTATGGCTGCCAACACGTTGCTCAGCTCCTCCTGCTTTCTCTTCGCGCGGATGTGCGTGCCCACCCTCTTCTTGATGAACTTGAGTGCGCGCTTGTCCTTGGACACTTTGAGCAACTCCATGGCGTGGCGCTCGTAGGGCGCGAAGCCGCAGACCTCTCGGATCATGTCCCGCACGAACTTGGTGTGCTTGGTGAGGCGCCCGCAGCACCGGCTGTGTCTCGGCTTGCTTTGTGGCCCTTGTTGAGGCCCACTGCCATAGGGTAACGCAGGGCCATAGCTGCTGCTCTCCGATGGCGGCCAGGACAGGAAGCGCTCATTTTCTTTATACACTATTTCTTTCCTTCCTCTAGTTTGTTCTCATTTTGCTTGTAGGAAATCAGCCCAGAAACATTTTTGACTGTCCTTGTGTCCTAACATTTTATTCCTTCTTAGAGTTTTAGTTGACTATTGAGAATTATGTAATATATTTTGATTATGGCTTCCTCTTCCTCATCTCCTACCAAACCACACCTTCTGAACCATTCGAATTGCACCCCATTTGTCTCTCTTTCTTTCGAAAAACAAAATAAAAGAAACAAAAGAGATAAATATAAAAAGCAAACAAACCAGAAGAAAAATAAATAGAGAAAAAAGAATAAATAAAACAGCTGAAAAAGTACACGAAACACACATTTGTGGCACCTGTGTACCTGTGTGTGTATGTGTGTGTGTGTGTGTATGTGTGTGCATTTGTGTATACCTAAAATGTTGAAATATGGATTTCATGTCTACTGGGAATGTTCTCAACATAGTTCCTCTGACTTAAATTGACAAACTGAATATTTTGTTACTCTATTTGAACTTACTACTGGTTCCTGAGATCATGTCTACTGAATATCATGTAATAAACTCTTCTACTTGTATCATTCACAGAGCACATGGAGAGTGACACCACCACAAACAACCTTATCCGTTCCTTCTACACAAATTTAATTTTTTGGTTACATTTTATCTTGATAACTTACATCATCTATATGCTAAGGGAAAACAGATATTACTTATATCAGACTATTTTATCTCATCTATTTACCATGCTCAATCCCTTTCCAATGATCAGTAATAATCATAACAGGATGTATTTTTTACTCACCCTGCTAACCTTTAGAAATTACAATCTCCCTGAAGATCTTGAAAGATGCTAGTATTGTTAGTGAGTTTCTCACACTTATTTCAGAACCTGGACACTCTTTTTAGATCCATCATCAATTTCTTCCATGTTTGTGTTACTGCAGCATAGTTGTCAAAACATATATATTGCCATGTACAGTTTATGTTTTCCTGTATATTTTAAATGGAGAACGTGAAGATATCTACAACCTCACATATTCATGACTGTTGAATTTTATCTGCTATCTTTTGTCAGGCTACTAAGTTTATCAATGAATCATTTTCCTTCATTCCATTGACATAGTATATTAGATTTATTAATTTTCATATTATACAATACCCTGAACACCCACAGTTTTCACTAGAGAGAAAATGCAAAGTTCATCCTTGAGTCAAATTTGAGTGACCATGTCCCAGGAAATACGGAACTAAGTTACTCCAGGTTTCATGTTGTAATGTGTAAGCGGTTTCATGAAGTTTTGTGTTAGTAAAGACATAAATGAAGGGAATTTTAGAATATATCAGTGGGTATATCAGAAAAGCAGGTTATAAACAGGCTGGCTAGCTTTGGATACTACCTGAGAGAGCAGTCTTAGCCTTCTATTGGTGGGAAAGAGTGTGTTGTTAATACATTTCAAAGCCTGTTTTCTGTTTATCAGGGTGTTGGGTCTGATACAGAGATGGACAAACAATGGATCCTTAGCGAGCTGAAGGTAGACCAGTTTTGCAAGTAAAACATGTATATTTACCATGTGCAGTATTATGTCTTGAAATCCCTTGTAAAATGATTACTAAATGATATCTTTAAGATATCTCGCCCTTCTCATATTCATGACTGCTCAATTTGAGCCAGGTTCTTTTGTCCACCTAATGTATTATCATACAGATCACAATCAATCCATTGGCATCGTGTATCAGATTTATTACTTTGCATGCAGTATACCACCCTTGAATTGCTGTGAAAATGAAGGAAGGAATTGTAATTTAGCTAGCTCATCAGCAGCATTCCACACTCTTCACATTCATTAAAATTTTAATGAATTAATCCATCAGATGTTGATCTGACAGTTTCTTTCCAGGAATTGTCTTTCACGTGGATCTGATTTTCTGTATTTAAACAGTTGATAAACCAGCCTGCTTCCATCTTGGTCTTGTTAGAAATCTTATAGTAATGTCAAACCAGATTCTCTCCTCTTTATGATGAAATTTCTGTTTCTGAAGGATTGGGCTAAGTCCCACCTGTAACTTTAACTTTGTACTGCCTGATCCAGGAAAGGGCATTGTCTTTGTTTCTAAAGGTTATTATGACTGTGTTGTTATGCCTACCTTGCTATGATAACTAGCTATGAGTACTGTGTTATGACCACCTTGCTAACATGCCTTTGTTTTAGGAGGTTGTTAGGACACACTTGTTATGCTTTTGTTCAGCTTCTGTAACCCTGCCTGCCAAATGTCCTATTTAGAAACTCAATTACTCCCAAACTAAAAAAATCTGTAGCATTCCCATGACCAATTATGACCTTTTGAATACCACCTTTAAGGAGAGACAGCCAGTGTACACAAAGAAAAAAAAATCAATCTTGCTTTAATTAATTGCCTCCTTAAATTCATTTGGACATAATTTGTGTAGTGGCCCTCCTCCTCATATTTATGGGATGAAAAAAATTGTCTCTCTCTTTTCTTTAGGTAGTTTGTGTAGAAATGGACCTATTTATGAATGAAAGTATTGCCTTGTTGGAGTAGTTGTGTCTTTATTGAAGGAAGTGTGTCACTGGGGTTAGGCTTTGAGGTTTCAGAATCCCAAGGCAGGCCTTGTGTTTCTCTCCTCCTGATGTTTGCAGATCAACATGTAAAACTCTCAGCTACCTTTCCAGTATTATGTCTGCTTAGTATGTTACCATGATGAGAATGTATGGAGACCTCTGAAACTGTGAACAAACCCCAATTGAATGTTTTCTTTCATAGGAGTTTTTCTGGTCATGGTGTCTCTCCACAGCAATAGAGCAATGACAAAAATAGTATCCAAAGCAAATGAAATCTGTACATTGATGAGACTTTTGTATATTGTGTTTATTGTTAGAAAACTTCATCAAGAAATGAGAAAATCACTACCAGGTGAAGAAAATGTATTAGATACATAAAACATAAAAGTTATAAAAAAATGAAATGTTGTCCTTTATGACATGGATATGACTGGGGATCATTGAATTAAATGACATGAAGCAGGGATTGCGTTGTAGGTCAGTGGTGCACTGTTGTCTGTAAGTTACAAGTTGCTAGGCCCAGCCTTTCAATAGTGTACAATGCAGGGTGATGATGGGGAATCGAGGCACAGAAAGACCAGTGCTTAATGTTCTATCTCACATGTAGAGCCTTAAAAGGTTGCTTTTATACAAGTATATATATATATATATATATATATATATATATATATATATATATATGTACAAGTATAGAAATATATTTACTAAATGCCATGGAACAATGCAGTGAGTTACCAAGTTACAGAAAGGAAAAAAAATGTCTGGATTTGCTATTGTAATATATATTGACAATAAGTAACAAAAAAGCTCTCAAATCTA